TTGGGTTTTGCTGAAGACTATCGTAAGATAGTTGTTTATGTAAAACATGAGCTTATTTTTACAAGAGCAAGAAACGATGTAAATGCCGTGTTGCAAACTCCAGTTAATGCTAATGCTGCTGATCCCGTGGCCGTAGCAACTTTAAAATAGCAATATTAAAGCTCGAGTGGCTTATGCCATATGTGGTAATGTCAGATTATCATAAAATTCGTCTATTAAACTATCTGTAAAAAAACAAGTTTATACCTATGAGTTTTCGAACTTGAGAATTTTATAAGTAGCCCCTGTTACCTAGCACATCCAAACATATATGGACAGTTAAAACATCAAATCCGTTAGAAAAGCCACGTTACGTTATTTTAGCCTTTCAAACTAACCGTAAAAATCAGAAAAATGTAAGCGCTAGTATGTTTGATCACTGCAACATAAGAAATGTTAAACGCTACCTTAATTCACAATATTATCCTTATGGTGATTTGAATCTTGATATAACGCATAATCAGTATGCATTGCTATATCATATGTACGCTAATTTTAAAAATTCATACTATGGCAAAGATTGTACACCTTCACTGGGCAAACAGCTTTTTCTCAATCAAATATCTTTAATCGTTCTCGATTGTTCGAAACAAAACGAGTCATTAAAAAATGCTCTAGTAGATGTGAGGCTAGAATTTGAGTCGCATACAAATTTTCCTGCCAATACGTCAGCTTATTGATTAATTTTGCACGACCGTATAGTTCAATACATTCTAATGAGTGGGGATGTCAAGAAACTTGTGTAGATATAAAGTTGATTCAGGGCTTTGCTAGCATTAGTTTATTTTCAACCACAATGGATAAAGGTCAGAGCAACAGCTGGAGTAAAGAAAAAGCAGAAAACAAACAACGACAAGAAGAGTCGGAAAAATTTATGAGAAGAAACGAGAAGAAGGATATAAAGGTTGATAAAAAAAAATCTGTGGAAAAATCGAAAGATAAAGACTGTAAAATTGTTTGAAAATTAATATGTTTAATAAGCTTTACTTTAATCAATATGTCACATAATTCGTGTACGAGTAATTTTACAACTAATGTTAAGTATCAAATAATCTCAACTAAGGATGATGATGATAGAAATAAGAAATCGGGGCTAAAAAACTTCGTCGATAAATATTCAACCAACAAAGGATCTTGTCCTAAAAATCAAGGTTACGAAAAAATAAAAAAGCAATCAAATTAAATATTATAATTGCGAAAGATGGAGTATTTTGTGGACATGCAAGGTTTTAAGAAACCGGGTAGTGATTATGTGCTCAAAGAATTGGCTATCCTTCCGCTCAATACTAACGATGCAGAAGCCCAAGTATTTCTTTTTAAAGCACCCTCAGCTGGCGAAAATTACCCCAAAAGTATAAATATGAAAATTTATACCTTGAACTTTGCTATTATGGACTAACCTGGGACTCGGGAAAAATTGAGTATACAGAGATAGGAAATATTCTACGGGAAAATCTTGAAAATGCTACAAAGATACATGTCATTGGAGATTTAAAAAAAAAGTGGCTTGAAAGATTTGGCTTTAAGGTCACTGATATGATAGACTATACACCGTTCGAGCTTCCAAGATTGGTTACTACTTGCACACATCACAACGGAGCCTACAAATCCATGTGTGCTCTTCATAATGTGAAGCGAATGAAAAAATTTTACTTCAATATGGAATGGGTTGATGTTGATGATGATGATAATAATTATAGTATAGAGCTGTAAGAATGCATTGTATTGTATTTTAAGAACAACATGTTTAACAAAATCGTTTTGTAAATCATGTACATTTTTCATTTAATATAAACTGATTTTAAAAATAAAACAAAAAATGTTTAACAATTATTTTCCTACCACTCCACATCCTGCATTATTATGCAACGCGCTCGCTAACACAAAAAAAAGTTATGTATGCATATAACTACCACGTGCACAAGCTGCACATTACGCATAAACTCAAACAGCGCGCGCAAACTCTAGCAGCGCTGCAGGTGGCGCACGCAACCTCAAGCAGCGCACGCACAAGGAATGCGAGGAAGCCACAGCTCCTGCTCACCCATTGGCTGCAGCAGGGACCACTCCACCCGAAAAGAGGGGCCGCTCGCCACGGAGAGGGAGTGGGCCAAAATCGCCTGGCGACTTGAGCCCACCTGGGCTGGAATCGCCACAGCTTATCTACTCATATTGTTAAAAAGCGATTCATTATGTCAGCGTCTGAAATGCTGTGTCTTATTAGACATATCACTTACATTATTGGACATCTTATACTACAAGATGATAATTTCATTTTTTTGAAACATGTTGTTAAATTAATTAAAATGTTTATGAGTCCAGCATTTCATGAAAGTACGATAAAAGCACTGACTGTCAAAATTGATGATTACCTAGTTTTTTAAGTTCGATTGATCCTAAAAGCATTCGACCAAAACATCACCATTCGTTGCATTATCCTCGCATAAAATCCAATGTCGAACCAGCTTGGAAAATTTGCTGTATGCGCTATGAAAGCAAAAACAAACAAGGGAAAATCGCATCGCATGCTTCGATTTCCCGAATAAATATTTGTCGGTCAATTGCTATACGACACCAGCTTAGCTTTAATTACAGATTAGTAACAGAAATCGAAGCAAAAGTTAAGACCTAGGACCATAAGAATATTAAAAGTGTCACTCCTTCTACTATACCATAAATTATATGCGTATGCAATCTGTTACCTGATTGTATTAAAAAATTAGAATTAATTAATATCGTAAAAAATACATATTTCTAAGGCAACATTATCAATATGCACAGTATTATCATACTAAAAACTGACATCGGTCCACAAATAAAATTATTTTGCAAGGAGATGACTTTTTGTAAGTAAGTAAGCAATTAATAGATGTTTTCGTAGATGAGCACTTAGCTGCTTATGAAATTATTGCATCAACCTACGAGTGGTATGTTTCGTCGAGCAAAAATTTACATGATTGTTGTGTCACTTACTCTGTTAAAACTTACGATGGTAAATTAGCAATTATAAAAAAATGGTAACAAGATGTAAATTGAATGTACAATGTCATGTAGTTTAATGAACACAACATTTTTTTTTTTTTTTTTTAATCATTGATTTAATTATTTATTCACTTATTTCATTATTCAACCATTTATTTAACATTATTATCAATTATCTATCATTTTGTATGACTTTGTTATTAAACAGGCTTTTGTAGTAGGTGCAATTGCAGTTTAATTAAGGCCAGAGCCTAGTTGGCCCCAAACTTAGCCGCGCAAGACATTAGTTCACGAGAAATTTTTTTTAATTCAAGGGGAAGCTCTGGCTAATAATCATGAGGGTACGAATATCACGTCGATCGTGTTCACGGACAACAGTTTAAGTAGGTGTGAAGCATACAGCTGGTCGAAGTTCCCCTCTGGCAGCGCACCGTGGCGCTGTTATAGAGAGAGTGAGGGGAATTTTTACCCTGACTGGGGATAAAAATTACCGACCCTGCTGTAAAAATTATAAGGACTGACTATAAATTTTACTATTCCCTAAATGTTTACCATGACTCAGGATAAAAATTTTAGTTCACACAGGATAAAATTTACTGCATCGTCGGATTGTCCCAGAATTACGCTGACAATCAGGGTAAAAATTTACCTGAATTTGCTTGCCGTGTACGTACTATATGTTTAAAAAAATACGATATGAACTAAATGGTATAGAAATTGACAAGTTAAAAACTGTGTATAATAAATACAAATACTAAAATTCGTGGCTTGAGCAGGCCTGTTATGGATTAAATTGACAGGTAAAAATCTCAAATATGCTAAGAAGACTTTTTTAATTAGAGAATTAAAGAAAAAGTGATTTAAAAGGTGTAATTGGCAACTTATTATTGTGACTGATTATCCACTTTTTGAGCTCCCAACATTAGCTACTGCATGATCCCACCATAATAATGCATATAGATTTATGTGTGCTATCCACAAGGTTCACCGAATGGAAAAATTCTACTTTCAAGTGGAGTGCGAAGATGTTATTAAGTCTGACGAAAAGATGCAATGATAAAATCACATTAGAAATTTACGTCCTTACAAAATAAATATAAAAATCATATGAGACTTTATTCAATGTGTAACTATTGAGCAGTCAACATCAAAATAGGTCCCTATTTCAATAAATCAAATAAGTTGGAGGAAAGCAGCAAGAGTTGTTTTATCAAAGGGAATAAAGATAGCTGGAAAATTTTTCTTAGAAAGGCACGTTGAAGTATAACAGCTAAAAGTAAAAAAGAATCATTATAATAAAAAAATATGGATATGAAGTAAATAAAAAATAAGTAAAATAATTTTCTAGAACAATTGGCCCTTACAAGAGGCGTTAATTTTTTTTTGATACTTATTCAATTTTAACTAAATGTATGTATTGAAAATTTTTTATTATTATTCACGTAACCTAATCCCACGCTATCGTTAGATAAATGCTATCTTTCGACACATGCTATCCTCTAGACCTAAAAATAATTAATTAAAAATTAATTGGTGCTATGTACAGAAAAATTTACTCAGTGGCTAAATTAATCAATGGAAGATATCTATGTGTTATACAAATAATATTCACTTATTGCAAATAATAAAATATTAAGAGATCACAGTATCACTGAATCTTCTTCACTACAAATAGAGGTGAAAGAGGGAAATAGCACAGCAGATCTGGTACTCGCACAAGAGCCTGAGTAGGTACGCCGATCCAGAGCTGTTTTGGCGGAAAGCGCAGCAGGTTCAGCACGAGGGCCAGGTTGCGGCGCTAGTAGGTATGCTTATGGCTCGATAGCTATGAGGCTAGGCCATGATACGGGTGGCTCTGTTTTCCTAAGGGGATACGAGGCTTGGTTGCCCCGTATGCTCTTAGCTATATTACTCACTTTTAATTGGAAGAAACTTTTTTTTTTTAATTTTAACTTATATTGATTGAATGTATGGTTTTTATTTACTGTTATTACATTAAAACAAGCTATCACTTACAGTTCTGTGATTATGCATGTTACCTACAATTAATCTATGTTTTATCGTGTTGTATTCATTAAAACATGGGATCTCTGCACGAGAACGGCATCATCACTAGGTGAAAAACACTTTTTGTAATTGTTTACATTAACAAAAGCAATCCAGTCCATGCGTTTAATTGGATAACATGATATTACGTTAGGAGTTATAAAATATTGGGGTGTTATCATCCTTGACGGTGGCTTGCGCAGTAGCGATCCATGTCCATCTGCTTCGTTAAAAAATTTACGTAATTTTTTTCTCAAATCTTTAACTGCATTTTCACAACCTCGGAATGTTAATTTTTTGGGAGAAATCTCAATAGCATCCAATTTCACTGAAAAATATAACAAATTTTTTTACCATGCTGACTGTATGAATCGAAGAGTAAACGAAACATGTAATGAAGATAATTATGTCAAGAAGACTCATTTCTCATATTTTTTTCTCTTTTAAAGTCTACTAATAGATTGCCATCTGGTAATTGTCATAACCATTTGATGTGTTAAAAAATTTATTTAACCCTTTTGCATCGAAAAAAGTAACTTAAAATGTACATATTATATAATTTTTATGTGTATATACCCTCATATCATGCTATATTTCTAAAAAGTTTTATATAGACAGAAGCGGATCGCGCCCAAAAAGGAGCTTAGAAAATGAAAAATCCACCAACCTCCTTCTAGCCACTAAAAACGCTGGGTCTATATGTTTATGAGGGTACTGAAAACGAATATCATATTTATTTTCGTTTAAGGTTGGGGCTTGATGGTCAGAATCCTTTTTTCATTATAAGTACTTTAAGTTAATAGAATTCAGCGTAGTATGTTGTTCCATATGTCACGGAGCTCCAGTTAATTATATTTACTCACAACAGTCAAAAATTTAAAGACAATTTCGTGAGTAGTTAGCCAATAAGGTCGTAAAAACTTAGAACTAACATGGTGGCTGTTTGGATGGAGTAAAAATGAGCGAATTTGAGATATCATACGAGCACACTTTGTGTTCCCTTACATTATTTTAATTAAAAAATATGAAAGTGTGTTCTTTTTTTTTTTTTTTTTTTTAATAACGTGAAAGATAAATTAGCATAACTTCTTCAGAACTTTTACGTCGATGAGAACCAATAAATTGATTTTTGCTCAACATGCTGGTTTGTATATAACATTATTTTCGTTATGATTAATGCGAATAGGATAAGCTGAGTGTCAATTGGAAGAAAGTGATTGTTATGTTTGCAAATATACACAAAAAAAGTGTCCTTATGTTTATGTAGAAAATCTCGTAAAAATATAAAATGAAAAAATATTTGACTATAATCAATAAAAAACATTGTAATCAATGTGATATGTTTATCTTTATATTACAATATCATTGGCACTCAACACTATGGTAGCTGTTAATTTAATACTTTCATTTGATTATTGTTGTGTATTACACCATCGTTATTGCTTGTGCCACACACCATGACAAAGACACACTAATACACACACACACACACACACACACACACACACACACACACGCATTTATACACACTAACACTTGAAGGATTAAGGTGGAGGAGCATGACGCACGCTGCGTCATGCAGATGAGTCTGAGATCGGTTACCTGCCCGAATGAGCGGATATTACCAAGGTATGTATATTAAAGCATTTAAATAAAAGTTTGCTTTAATGTTAGATGTGAGTTCACTTAATCACCTACTATTATTTCACACGACACCACAGTGGTATCAGAAGTGGGATAAAATCTTTGCATACAATGCTGCCAGGTAAAGTCTAGTTCAGCAAATCTAACCTCAACGTGACCTTGGACACCGAACAGACTTCATTACCTCACGAGTTAGTGAAATTTATCTAACTCTTTCACCATGCCAGACGACACAGAATCTGTGATTCATCAACTCGCTGGAGCGATTACCCAAGCATGTCGCCTGTCCGTCGTAGATGAATCAGCACCATCCATAGAGCCTTGGACACCACAATTTTTCGTGCAACCTTACCTATTTCACACGGTTTACGTGGGCGCTGAACCTGAGCAAGATGCCTGAAGATCAACACGCGCAATACGCAATTCACAATCCAAGTTGGAATCACTTAAGGCAGGTTTTATTTTGCAGAAGGCTAACCGTAAGTTCGTCAGGTATATTAGTCACCCCATTAACTGTGTCAGGAAAATGACAGTCAGCGCCACCATTGGATTTGCAACTAGAAACCTTGATCTCTACGTGGTTGACGACGAAGTTGAGATGATTCTCAGTTGAGAATGGATCTCGAAGTTTGGACGCGAAATCAGCTTCGAGCACCTCTTTGCGACGCCTCACTCAATCCATAAACTCTGACTATACCAGAAGCCACTACCCCCAAGGTAGCAGAGATAACTTGAAAACATCCTTGACTGGTACCAGGACGTGTTCAGCAGCATCCCTGAAAAGATGTCAGGGCCATCGATCAAGATGCACCTTAAGGCAGGGGCCATCCCTGTTTGTGCAAGGGCACGCGACGTACCAGTCGCACTCTGTCATGCATATGCCAAAGATATCGACACCAAAATAGCGTCCGGTTTCTATAAAAGGGACGATTATTCCGAGTGGGCATCAACGACTCACGTCGTGGATTACCATCGACGAACACCTGAATCCCAAGATGGAGCATCTATTCAACCGAATGCGCGGTGCCGCCTTCTTATGATATCTAGTCATCACTGACGCCTATACTCATCTCGAGGTCAACGAAGAGTTCAGCCATGAGCTCACTCTCAATACACTGACTCACGATCTGATCTAACCAATTAGAGCAGTCTACAGAGCAGCCAACATTCCCGCTATTTGGTAGCGACGAACGGACACAGTCCTACAGGGCTTACAAAAACGTCGTAAGTTTTTTTAATGACACAATAGTTTTCGCCGATTCGTTCGAGAATCTGATACAGGCTATTACCACCACCTTAGAGCGATTTCGGCAACATGGACTAAAACTCAACTGCTCCAAATGCGTTTTTGCTCAAACTGTCCCCGAAGCCCTGGGTCATAAGATTGACGCGTCAGTCATCCACAAGTCTAATGCGCACATCAGAGCTGTCCGATACCCACCGAAGCCGGTCACCCCGGCAGAGCTCCAGCTGTTTTTAGAAAAAGCAATCTACTACAGCTCTTTCATTTTCAACCTGTTAACAAGAGATCGCCTCCTCAGAGACATGCTTTAGAAGAATCCCTACATATGGACACCAGAGGGTGACAAGGCCTACGTGGACATCAAGAACGCCCTCATCTCGCCACATGTACTGATGCTGTACGATACAGCATTGCCACTCCTGCTGGCCACGGATGCCAGCAAAACTGGTCTAGACGCAGTGCTTTTACACTACTCGGCAATGAACAGGAATGCCCAACAGCTTACGCCAGCCAAACGATATCAGCAACAGAATAGAGGTATCCGTAAATCAATAAAGAGGTGCTTGCGATCGTATAGGCCGTGCAGAAGTTTTTCTATTTGTACGATTGACACTTTACCCTTGACCCAAATCTTGCATCTGGAGAAGTCATTACCGGTTTTGTGCATCAGTCGCATGGCTAATTCTGCCAACTACTTGGCATATTTTAACTATGACATCATCTTCAAGAACTCTAAGGCTAACGAGAATGCCGATTACTGCTCTCAAGCGCACCTCCCTGACACGGTTAACCTAGTCTTAAGACCTTCTTCTCCACAATAGAAGGAAACATACGGCTTGACGATTTTGACCTATTCACAGTCCACTAGGTGCTACAGTTACCAGTGAAAACAGAAACTATCGCACGCGAGACTAGGAAGGACGCTCATCTAGGTAAGATCGTCAAGATCCTTGAAACAGAACAAGATCTCACCCGCTACAACTACAAGGTATCCGAGGCAAACTACAAACTTGCCACCAACTGCCTGATATTCGAGCATCGAGTGATTGTACCACCTCGACTATGTGACACTATCGTAATTAATCTACACATAGCCCACCTGGGCATAGTAAAGATGAAAAGTATTGCACATTAATTTAATTTCTGACCTAACATTGATGCAAACATTGAAAAACTTGCTAAATTCTGCACAGCGTGTGCAGATCATGCACATGCACCACCGAAATTTCGAGATTACCATTAAGAGTACCCGTAAGCACCTTGGGAACGGATTCACATGGACTACGCAGGCCCATCAGTAGCTGACACTATGATGTTGATTTTGGTTGACGCTTATTCTAAGTGGCTCGAGGTTAAACCTACTACCTCTACAACAGCAGCCGCGACCGTCACCATCTTGGACGATCTGTTTTCAACTTGCGGAACACCAGTCACTGTTGTCTCTGACAATGGTCGATAATTCGTTTCGGAAGAATTCAAGTCTTTTCTTTTGACCTGTGGCGTTAAATACCATCCCTACTGGAAAGAATCACGTGATTCCTCACGTGAAATCTCACGTCCAATTTTCACATGATTTGTCGAAAAAATTTTATTTTGAAAAATAATTGTCTAAAATACAATTCAACCCGAACTTATTGATCACGTTTATAGTTACCATCCGTATGACAACACCAAAACTGGGGGATTAAAGTGTTTTATGTTTAATTTGGAACATTAAAAAAAATAGTTATTTTTCTAAATTTTATATAAACCACTTTAGTTCTCTAGTTTTTATGTTATCAAACGGATAGTGACACAATTTGTGATCAATAAATTTGGGTTGAATTATGTTTCAGACAATTATTTTTAAAAATAAAATTTTTTCGATACATCATGTGAGAATTCGACATAAGATCTCACGTAAGAAATCACGTGAGACGATTACGTGAGAAATCGCATGATTTTTTACAGTAGGGATAAGCTGTCAGATCCGTATTAACCATCAACCAATGGCCAAGCTGAACGCTATGTCCAGACGGTGAAAGATGCCCTCTACGCAATGCAGACTACAAAAGGAACTCCCCGAGCAAACCTGAACCAGTTGCTTCGTCAATTCCGCAAGGCTCCGCGTTCTACCATAAGCCAGTCCCCTGCTCAGTTCTTCTTGGGCCGAGATATCTGTACAAGACTCGACCTGACCAGGCCTGATGACGTCCGCACGAGGGTCATTGAGAAACAACAAGGGTGCATGAACTCAGCGTTCCGGACATTCGAAAAAGAACAGAAAATTAATTTCTTAGCTGGAAACGCTTAACTAGATAAATGGCTCCCTGGGATCATCGCGTCGCGCCTCGGTGATCTTCATCATCAGATTAACTACAAGGAAAGACTATTCACGCGGCACATTGACCAGATCAGCTAGGGCATTCCCCAACGTAGATGAGGCAGTGAAACCAGAAGAA